TAGACCTAAAGGATGCTTTCTTTACAGTTCCTTTACACCCTGACTCCTATTTCCTGTTTGCTTTCACATGGACAGACCCTGATACCCACCTGTCGTTACAACTCACATGGACCGTGCTCCCACAGGGGTTCTGCGACAGCCCCCACCTCTTTGGTCAGGCTCTTAGACAAGATCTGTCCTCGCTTTCCCTTTCTCCCAGTATTTTGTTACAATATGTTGATTATTTCCTCCTATGTAGCCCTTCCTATGATCTTTCTCATTGTTACACTGTTCTACTCCTTAATTTCCTAGGAACCAAAACCTGTTATGTCTCCCCAGCCAATGCCCAGCTGTCTTAACCTTCTATAGCATAGTTTGGGGTGCTCCTCACCTCCACCACAAAATCTTTCACCATTGACTGTATTTCAGCTCTTCAATCTCTACAACCACCTGAAAACACAGACCAAATACTTTCTTTTCTCAGGCTTGCGGGGTTCTTCCAACACTGGGTCCCAAATTTCACTACTTTAACAAAACCTCTATACAATACAGCCTGTGAAACCCCCATGGGGGCACTTACTTTCTCCACCACAGTTCAAAAATCCTTTTTTACACTTCATGATACCCTTATCTCTGCCCCTCCTTTTCCCCTTCCCAACCCAACTAAGCCTTTCTGCTTATTCACAGAAGAGCACCAAGGCCATGCAGTAGGAGTCCTTACATGTTGTTGTTATGTGCCATCGAGTCGTTTCCGACTCATAGCGATCCTATGCACAACAGCTCTAAACCCTGCTCTATCCTGCGCCAACTGCACCGCCTCTGACACACTCATCCCGATTACCCCAGTCACCGAATCAATCCATCTCAAAGAGGGTCTTCCCCTCCTGCGCTGTCCCTCCACCCTCCCAAGCATGATGTCCCTCTCCAAGGATCTTTCCCTCCTGGCAACGTGTCCAAAGAGTGTCAGACGAAGCCCCAGAATCCTTGCCTCCAAGGAGCAGCTTGGTTTAATCCTCTCCAAGATGAATCTGTTTGTTTTCCTGGCAGTCCATGGTACATTCAGTACCCTTCTCCAGCACCACAGCTCAAAAGCATCCACTCTCCTTCTGTCCTCCCTAGTCATTGTCCAACTCTCTGATGCATAACAAGCGATTGCAAATACCATGACGTGTATCAGGCGCACCTTAGTCTCCAGAGAGACACTGTTGCTCCTGAGTACCTTTACATACGGAGTCCTTACATAGCCTGTCAATATACAAACCAGTTGCTTACTTATCCCAGCATCTCACCACAACTGTCAAAGGTTGGTTGCCCTGCCTGCTCACACTCTCACAGCCTATTACTGTTTACTCCCCAAATCGTCTTACAGACCTTTTTCACCCACAAAGCTTTAACCCTCCTCAGCCCATCACTCTTACAAATCTTTCAACTTCTGTTTATTGAAAACCCCTCCGTAAATCTCCAAGTGTCACCACCACTTAACCCAGCCAGAAGGACTATTCACTCCACTGCTTGCAATCTGTTTCTTACATAACCAAGTTGAAGACTATAGCCCAGCACCTATGGTGGCTTCCCATATTCATCCTGTAAAATCCACACACCTATGCTGGTAACCTCCTTGATGCACAATCACATACAATCCTATCTTTTGGTTATGGAGGAAAAATGGTGGTGGGGGAAGCAGTTTCTTTAAACCTCTTTGACCCTTAGGACCCTAAATGGGCCAAAGGAGTGGAGGGAAAACTGTACAGAACAAAGGAAGCTCACTCCCAGGAGCTACCCCACAAATCTGGAAAACTTACACTCAAATAGCCCTGCTAGTTAGTGACTCTGTTAAACAACTAGCTGACCATTCTAATGACATCTCCCAATAAGAATCGTCACTACAATTGGCCTTAAACCCATATGCCAGTCAACCTTTTTCTTAGCTACCCCTAATCTTTCAAAGAGCCTTTCTACTTAATCATACTAAGGTAAAAGATATCACTGAATGCTTTCCCTGCTTTTTAAGTGCCTATTTTGACAGCTCTCCACTTCTAGCAGTACCCTTCCCTTCACTATAGCATGCAAACCACTATTCATCTTCCAGGAAGCCTCTTAAACTCTTATTTCCTTGTTCCATCCTAGCACAGATACCAGTTATGCTCATTGCTATATCTCATCCTCCTCTTCCTCAGCTACTTGTAACACTACCACAACAGTGTCAGGAAATAGATATGCTTCTTCTGGAGGATTCTTCTGGTGCAACTTCGCTCTCTGTAAACAAATTAATACCTCATCCTCACTCCTCTGTGTTCCAACTATATTAGTACCTCAGCTCATGATGTATGGAGATGAAGAACTCTCAGTCCTCTTTGACGCACTCTACAGTTATCACTTTAAATGAGAAGTATTCCTTCCTGTACTGGTAAGGTTATCCCTAGCATCCTCTCTGGTTGCTGTAGGTGTAGATGGTGGTGGCCGAGGCCACTCCCTGATTACCTCAGGAGATTTAAAATAACAACTACAAATAGCTGTAGACGCCTCTGCCAAATCTTTAGCCTCCTTGCAGCAAGAAATCACTTCTCTTGCTCAGGTCTTACAGACAAGATGAGAACTGGACTTGCTTACAGCTGATAAGGGTGGCACCTGTATCTTTCTTAATGAACAATGTTGCTATTATAGCAAAGAAAGTGCTGTAGTAGAGGAAAACCTAGATACTTGACAGACTCAAAGAAGAGCTAAAAAAGGGAAGGGGTCTGACAAATACATAATCAGTGTGGTGGCAAACTGCACTATTTACCTGGCTAGCCCCAGTTCTTGGTCTTCTCTTAATAGTTTGCTCAACATTAATGGTTGCTCCCTGTTCTTTTAAGTTTTTACAGAACCACATCCAGGAAATCTCTCAAGTCACAGTAAACCAAATGCTGCTCTCACCCATATTCCCATCTCCCTAGTGAACCTCTTCCCAGCCCACCAGCCAGCCCCATTCACCACCCCTGTTCAGTAGGAAGTAGCCAGAGAGACTGTGTTGCTCCTATATAACCAAAAGGCTGGAATGAAAGGCCACCTGGGAGCTGGGCAACATTCCACACTGACCACACCTTCTGGGAGATATTCCAATCTGCCTGGCGTAAGACTACTACGGCCAATCAGAAAAGAGCATGACCACCAATGACATCTTGCTTGACTGAGCAACTCCATATTTGGGAACTAACAAAGGGCACCAAATCAACACCCTCCACGGAGAACTGACCACCAGGCTGACCACCCTACTCCCAACCCCTACCTTAAAAGTTTGGCCTATAATTTCTGTTTTACAACTTTGCTGCCTGACCCTGCCTCTCTCTGGCCTCAGGCAGTAAATCTGCCCAAGAGCCACTAATAAATTCTTTCGTTTAACTTCACCCAGTTCTGTGTGCCTTTTTTACCTTACAATGAACTATGTCACCAGGCCTCTTGTGTTTATGGGTACACACACACACACACACACACAGCTCCTTTCAGATTCATTGCCATAACGTTTTGAACCAAGTCGTAGCTGATTTTCCAGTGGACTGCCAAGGCTGTAAATTGCACTGCTGAGAGATTGCCTGTCTTTGTCCTTTTAAGCTACTGGTGGATTCAAACCACCAGAAAGTCTGGGTCTTTGAGTTAGCAGCAAAACTCTCTATAGACAGTGCTACCAGATGTGTGTGTGTGTGTGTGTGTGTGTGTGTGTGTGTAAAACTATATATATACATATGTGTGTGTATATGTAGAGAACTATCTATCACTACATATAAAGAAAAAAAAGTATCCTAAAATACTCTGGAATTTTTATATGAATTCGGGTTATTTAGCTATTGACAAACATTTTTATGAAACTCACACATAAGGACTGCATTGATTTCTAATAGAAGAGTCACTATGAGACTCGATAAGAACTTTGGAAGGCACAAAACAATGATGAAAAGTATATATACATACAGGTTACTGGGGACAATTTTTTTTTCTTTTTTTATATTGGTTTGCTTAAAGTTTGTATACATTGTTTTTCACACTATTCTTCATTCACATTATGTTTCATACAATCGTTCCCATGCATTGTTTTATAATATTAATCGTCATTGGACCTTGCACATCATTATCCTGTCTTTTCAGATCCCCACGAGATCTTTCAAATTTGCTTCACCCCTTCCCTCCACCCACCAAATTGTGCAACCCTGTGGTGTCGCCCCTGCCCATCCACACCCCTCCGCTCCAACCCCGTCCCACCTTGGGTCCCTTATGGCTTCATCCCGGTATGACATCAGGAATGGTATGGCAATTACAGATAAACAACTTCAAAACATCACTACCCCCAAAACTAAAATTTGGTCTTTAGAAACTAGGTGGTTAGCTCAATATAAGTACATACAGGAACACATAGTAGCCCTCCCTTCTGCTTTAGGTGGTTTGTGTATGGTCAAATGGGAACTGATCCTTAGCTGACCCTTTGGCGGGCTTTCAGAGGCACAGGAGGAGACTGCCCAACCTTCTCCTGCGGAGCAGCGGGTGGCCTGGGACCACGTGCCTTTGAGATTGTAGTGCAGCTTCTTGTCACTAGACCACCAGAGCTCAGGGACAGGAAAATGCTTTACAAAGGGCTCAGCTGGTAAGAATCAGTTCGCCCACTGTTGCTTCTTTATTAAATGTGCAGAAGACAGCAAAGGAAATAACCACAAGTAAGGAAATCAGGCGTGGAAGAGGGCGATGCTCCCAGGGCTGCATGAAGCACCCACAAGCCGCCACAAGGGGCGGTGGGTGGGGCGCCCTCGAACCCGCCCCACCTCGGGCCCCGCCCACCATGTACCCCGTCCTATCGCGGCACTTCCTAAGCCAGACCCCACCCCCAGAGGACTCCGCCCCCGCTCCGACCCCCGCCCACTGTAGGCTCAGTCCTATCGCGGGTTCCGCCCAGACCCCACACCAGGCCCTGCCCGCCTAGGACTCCGCCCCCGCCGCAGGCCCCGCCCCCGTATCGTCGCTCTGGAAGAGCCAAGGATGACGTGAGGAGAGAACCGCGAACATCTCTTGGGGCGCAGCAGGACCGGCCGCCAGTTCCACGGCCCGTGAGCCCGGCGGGCGCAGCAGCGCCTTTCGGAGCTCCTCTCCTGATCGCTCATCTTCCTCTCGGGCCAGGCCGCCCCCGGCGCGGCCCCTGCGGCTCCTGGCACGGCCCCGCGCTCGGCTGTGGTCCTGGCGCGCTCCAGTCTGTCGTCCCCGGACGGGCGAGGACCGGCCCGGCTCGGGCGCCGGCGGCTGGGGAGGGGGCGCTGGCCCCGGGGCCGCGCATGCGCCGCCACCAACCTGGGGCTGTCGGTGGAGGGCGAGTGCTGGTTCCGAGGGGAGGCGCCACTTTACGGGGTCAACGGGCCGCGCTCGGAGGCGGCCGTGGGAACCACTCATCCCTTCTGCAGCCGTGGAGAGGGGTTGGAGTCGGGGTCCGGGCCGGCGGCTGCGCCGCCCCCGTCCCCTGGCCTGCCCCCATCATGGGCCGCGATGATGGCGGCCCTGTACCCGAGCACGGACCTCTCGGGCGCCTCCTCTGCCTCCCTCCCTTCTTCCCCATCCTCCTCCTCGCCGCCCAGCGAGGTGATGGCACTGAAGGATGTGCGGGAGGTGAAGGAGGAGAACACTCTGAATGAGAAGCTGTTCTTGCTGGCGTGCGACAAGGGTGAGAGCCAGGCCCATTCTTGCCCCGGGGGCGCCCCGCGCGCGGTGCCCGGGAGGGCCCTCGGTAGATCTGTGCGCGGTCACCCTGCTTTCCCACGCGGCGCGCGCGCGCCAGAGCGCGGGGCCGGCGGTCGAGTCGGGGCTGCGGCTTTGACCGTGACCTCCCCGCTGTGGTCCGAGGCTTAGTAGGCATCCTGGGGATTCCGGAGTTCTCGTCTCGCTCGTACTTAATGCCAGAGTTTAGGAGTTCTTCTGGGAGCCAAAGGAGTTTGTCCCCTTACCCTGGGATTTCCCCCATCCTCCACTTTGCCTTTAAGGCTCTTCTAAGTGCACTTTAATTTTTTAAATTTATTATTATTATTTTATTTTCTTTTTACTTTTGTTATTCTGCTTGACTTTTGAGTGGAATTAGGTCTCTGTGAATCCTAGACGGAGAGCTGTATGAAAAAAGAGCACAGAACTGGATAAATTTTGCTTTACTCCCTAAAACTTTCCCCAGACCAATCGAACTGTTGAACTGCTGCACAGTGTGTTTTTCTTTTCTCCGTTTCAGTCTTGGCTTTGATGGCTTTTATAGCCAAATTTAAAATGCCCACGTTAGTCTATTTTCTAGTGATGCTTGTAATAAACTACTGCCGTTAATTGCACTCAGAACGTCCACTCATAGTTGACCCTCCAGCGGGTTTTCAGAGGCTCAAAGCGCGTAGGAGAATAATTGCCCAAAGGCGACTTTTTATTTCTTGTTGTTGCTGACTCTCCATCGGGTTTTCAGACGCAGTTAATCACTTGGGAGGAGATTGTCCATCTTCCCACGGGGCAGCTGGTGGATTCGAATTGTGGTGCCTTTGGGATTGCAGCGCAGCTCCTTGCCGGCTACCAGAGCCTGTATATATTTTACCAGAGCAAAACAGTTGATTTCCTGCGTGTAAAAAACCGAGGTTTTTTTTGTTTGTTTGTTTTCTAAGTTTATGTGTTTTGTCCTACATTTAGGAAAACTTTAAAAAAATAATAACGTAGCCTTTCAAAACATAAACGTAGAACAATTTATAATGTAGAAGGATTGACTAAAGAGAATTTTGTGTATGTGTGTGTATATGATTTTAACTAAATTGTAATCTCCCTAGCCTCCTCTTGCTCCCTAACTTCTTTGGAAATGGAATTTGCTTTATATAACTTTCTGAAACACATTGGCCTATTAAATTAACATGGTCTACCTATGGCTATGGTCAAGCCACTCTTGTTACATCATTTGTGCTCACCATGGACACAAGTTTGAGGAAAAAGGAAAAGATTTCTATATTTA